ATAAATTATATAGCCCTTTATGAACATAAAATGTAGAAAGCCAAGGCGCCCTTACACTTGTTTATTATATAATAAAACTTTAGTAATTATTATAAATTTATGTTTTCGTAATTTATATCTTCAATAACATTTATCTGCTTCACATCTTCCATTAGTTCTGTCACCTTTGTAGTTTCGTCAGTTTCTTTAGCTTTTGCCACCTTTCGCCAATTTCGGCACCTTTCGCCAGTTTCGTCAGTTTCGGCACCTTTCGACAGTATTGACATTTCGTCATTTGAGATTTTAATTGACGAAAGTCGAAACTAGGTTTCTGCACTAGTGATTTGAACCGATAAAGTTTTTTAATCGGTTAACCGAATCGAATTATTTTATTCGCTTAATTGTCAACCGGTTAAGATTACTCATTATCCTCGGAAATTTTCAGAGCTTGCTCAAAATTTTGTCTCATCTTTTATGTTCTTTGCGGAACCTTACTCTCTCCCTATATCTACCAATTTTCAACCGGATATACCGGGTCAATTTACTCAACCGGTTAACCGAAATTTATTCAGTTCGGATCGATTAACCGATTATAGGCCAACCGATCCAAATCACTAGTCTGTACCTACAGGTCTAACATAACTCAATTTCAAAGCTTATTTTTTTAAATCTTGTATATAACATTTTCCCCATTTCTGGTTCTGTACAACTGCATTGCTTATATATAAGTTTTTTTTAGTACAGTAGTAAGTATAATTAAAGTTTTTTTTTTTGTTAATACTTGATGAACTTTAGTAATACACACGTAAGTACAATTGTAGAAGTGTCACAGGATGTCTTAAAAAAGTACGAATTCATAAGAGAGGTGGATGACTAGTAAATAATAAAGATTTTAAATATTATATCAAACATATATTAAAAAAACTCAAGGATTTTTCTTTCCAATTTGCTCAAGCAGATCTACTAAAAAGAGTATACGCGGCAAATGTTTTGTGAAACTCCATTCGGATAAGTCAGTTGTATTACTATTAAAGAAACACAAACTATTTCCAAATAGGAAGAAAATAGGGTCCAAAATTAAACCTACGTCAATAAACTGAAACCAATTCACATGACTTCATTAAATTTTCGCATGAGGAAAATTCTGATATCTAAATTTCTGTGCCAGGCAGATTCCTGAACTATAAATCAGATTTAAGATCAGTGTAATGTAGCACATCAAGAAAATTCATAATAGACGTTCGTATTGCCAAAAGTTGCAAAAACCGTCCATATAAAAAAAGTTTGTATAGTTATTGTAGGCATTGTCCAAATAAATGTTCGGAACGGAGTCGATTTTCAGAACAGGGTTTATGTTTGCACTGTTTTCATAAAAGATCGAAACCTTTTGATTGAAATTATCGTATAAAAAACGTATAAAACGCATTCATCCCGAAACGGAGTCGATTTTCCGAATAAAAAATCGAATTTCGGAATTTTCTGAATAATTCCAAGAGATTTTTTTATAAGGCGTATAAGAACTCGCCATTGGTGCCTTAACAAGAAGTTTTCCTTGAGCGATTTACTATATATTTTGGCAAAAACTAATTCTAATATGATCATTAACCTGACGTTAATAAACTTTAAAGAATTTTGTAATTCCACAAGATCTGCATAACATACATGCAGTTGATCGAACCGATTCCTCCTTACAACGTACGTACGTGCGTACGTACGTATATACGTACATTAGGAATGTACCAGTTTAAAAGCCCATGTGACCATGTGAATATACGTTTATGCTTTACAAAACAGCGATTATAAATTTCTTTATTCGATGTTAAGAAGCAGAAACGTAACACGTATGATTTTTCAATTTGTCCATTTTTACACAGATGTGCAAGCTTCATTACCTAGCATTTTAAGAGGGCGTAAACTTTATTATATATAGAATTGACATTCATTATATTGAACGTGAAAACATGAGAACTTTTTACACAAAAAGAACATATTTGATGATATGCATTGGTTACATGTGAATAGTGGTGTAAGTACAATGCCATAGTGAATACTTTTGTCGTAATTCATTATAACTACGACAAATTAAGATATTGCATTCACACACATGTGAAATCATAATCGTTTAATCCTTAACTGACTTGAAAATATATCAAAGGATTCGAAAGCTAAGTTCCCATATAGCATTTGAAAATGGAAGACGAATCTACCAGAATAGATGAAATATCTGATTGCCGTCAAAGAGCAATAGTTTGCAAAGAGCCTAACTTAAGTCCATCTCAAATATTTAAATCTATCAGCAACATGGTTGTAAATTATCCACACCTAACTAAATACGAAAAAAAATACTTAATAAATGATCTTATAAGAATAAGAGATGTGCAGAATGTAATAGAAAATACAGGAGAAAAAAGACACTGCGAATATTGTAATAATCAAGTTATCGCAATTACTTACTGTGAAAATTGTATTAGAAATTATTTAAAAAGAGATTTTAGTGAATGGACCACAGGAAATGTTAAAATTGATAAATGGATCCAGGAATGTCAAATCAACTCAGTGTCGCCTTCCGATATATTTGAATGGATTCCCTTCGAAAATTTTACTAATATAGAGTTTAGAGAAGAAGGTAATTTTTCTCTAATATATATTGCAACATGGAGAAATGGTCCATTTACAGAATGGGATACTGAAAAACAAGAGTTAAAAAGGAATGGCGGAGAAACTTATATTCTCAAAAGTTTAAAGAACTCGAGGACAGAAGATGAACAATGGCTTAAAGATGTAAGTATATTTTTGTTTTCCATTCAGCAGAAGATCTCTATACATGGCATATAAAGCATTTTAGAATAATTTATACCTGATCTTGGCATGCGACGGTGGGGTGCGCGATATACTATGCAAATCAAAACTATACATGGTATCATATAAAAACTTAATATCTAAAATTTTATATAGCATATAATTTTACTTATAACTTTTCGCGAAATTTAAATAGATGCACAGCCTTAACGGTTTAATATTTTAGGATAAAAGTTTGTAGAGGCCAATACTATAGCTCTACAAGCAAAGTTACGAAGCTATTTTTCTTATTTAAATATAAAAACAAAGAAATAGTTTAGCCAACTTTTTAAAATTCTTAAAGTTTAAAGGGAATGGCTTCGTAACTTTGGTTGTAGAGTTATCATATTGGTCTCTGC